TTCCTTGAGGTCCATCAGGACCAAATAAAAAAAGGCAGGTAGGTAATTTGTATGTCTTAAGTGGTAATAAACCAATGTTATAGAATGTTTGCTTTTTCGGCGCTTCATTTGAAGATCACACAGCTTTGCAGCGTTAGAATGGACTTTTTTTCGTAGCGACCACTGTCTTCACCATTGTGCCATTGTTGAAAGAGTTGACACAAGTTCCGAAAGTGATTCATCGACGCCGATGCAGTTCTACAGAACTTTCCTGAAGAGCAATACTGATCATTTTAGTCGCTCAAAGCAGGTGCTTCATAGTCAACAGAACATTCGTAAACTCTGGCCGCATCATGTCAGCCAGATAAGCACAGTAGTGCACAGCTTTCCCCAGGCCACTCGCTGATGTTTCTTAGTGTAGCTTCAATGGAAGGCTTAAGCTGAATAAAACTTAGAAGAGCTTTGTGTCGTTCAACCAATCGGTTGTCAGACATCTTTAGGGTTGCAGTATGATTTGCTTCGGGCTACAATGTAAGTTCTAAGGCCTGCTCTTTATCGTTGAGTCATAAAATCAGTCCAATTTCAAGGCCTCAAAATAGGGCGCCTTTTCACAGACTAATTTTTTTTTCATATCAAGATGAAAGACAGCACCAGCGAAACCGCATTTTGAAAAGTTAAATTTGAAAAGTTAAATAGGTAAATTGTCCATAGGGTATCCTTTACTATTTGTTAAAATTCCTGAGAGGGGGCGTCCGGGCTAAGCCCTCCTAAATCAGTCCTTGATTTGAATTCTTATTTTTTGTTTTCCCTTCAATTTTCGCGTTGATATTGAGCCTATACTACCATTATCTAATCGTTACAGAAAAGCACACCGGTCGAGGTCGTGATTTCATTGTTTTAACTTGAGGATCATATCTTTTTTTTCAGAACCGTTTAAGCCAAGTAGATTTTGGTTGAAAAGTTAATTTTGAAAAGTTAAATAGGTAAACTGTCCATAGGGTATCCTTTACTATTTGTTAAAGTTCCTGAGAGGGGTGTCCGTGCTAAGCCCTCCTAAATCAGTCCTTGAATTGAATGCTTATTTTTTTGTTTTTCCTTCAATTTTTGCGTTGATATTGAGCCTATACCACCATTATCTAATCGTTACAGAAAAGCACACCGGTCGAGGTCGTGATTTCATTGTTTTATCTTGAGGACCATATCTTTTTTTTTCAGAACCGCTAAAATCAAGTAGATTTTACGCTGACCGCAGGGACTAAGTTTAGATAGGTCAAAGTAGGAGCCGAGAGATTTCATGATGGCTTTGCTGATACAAATTTTGATGTTTAATTGTGGAGACTAGGAAGATCAAACGCAGCTTTGAAAAATTTCAACCAGCACAAGCAAAAAATTTTTCGGAAAAGCGTAGTTTTGATGATTTTAAACTAAGAAATTATTCTTTCTGTTAATAAACTATGCCAAAACTTGATGCTAGAATAATCTTATTTTTGATCAATCGTCTAAAAATGTCACTGAATAGTTTTAGCGAATAAACTCAAAAATATCCCCTGCTAGAGAATATGCAAATTAATTTGCAATAAGTTTTTTCACTTCAACTGATATTACGTTCATGAAATAATGTTTATTGTCCAAGGGTCTAAGCTCTACTACTCGGAGTTGCCCAACTCAGAGATCAAACGACCCATTGCCTTGAAACGACCAGCGATGAAATTCGGAGAGACAGAACTGAATAGACCGGAATATGCCATGGACTCCTCACGTGTACCAAAACCCTCATTTCTAAACAAGGACCCAGTGCCTCCTTGGAGGGGTCCCGGCAGCTGGGGTGTACATTCCGGAGGCTATCCTCCCAGTGCCGCTGCATCCATGCCTTATCTTGATAGGCTAGGAGCGAATCCTAGCGCTTACAGGCCCGGGATGGGCGTGACAAGAGATCGGACCGGAAGACCGTTGTCCTATGGAGATTTTGGCTACTATGGAATTGGGTCCGACCCAAACTTCGACGACGGAGTAAGTGACAGCTTGACTAAAATATTGATGTGATTTGTCTTTTTTTAACAGATCTGAATACGCTTCAGAAAAAAGTGCTTTATATCTTTCTTTTTTTTTCACTTTCAAATATTTCGAATCGAAAAAGATCAAATAAAACTAAGCATGTTTTTGCAGGCAAACCAGACTTTTTCCTGAATTTGGAACTTTTTCTTGTCATGCAGAAAATGGTATCAAGAAACTTGGGGTTTTGTAAGTTAAAACATTCGAATCGGTTGTGGCGCAACGGTAGTGATGGTGCCCAGCAATCAAATGATAGCGGGTTCAAATTGCAAGTGCGCTGCAATTTGCAAAGTGAACTTATGTAAGATAGCCATAGCCTAGTTAAACTTAAATAATTAGCCTTCGGGTTGGGCCTTTGACTGGTTAACTAAAAAAAAAGAATCGAAATAGATCAATTTAATTGAACTTGTTTTTAGGGCAATCCAGAGCTTTTCCAAAACAAACTTTGTCACCCTGTGCTGCCATACAGTATATATTATATCAATAATTATAATGTTTAGTGTCAAAAAATTATGAATCCAAGTAAATCAAATTCAATTGATAATGTTTTTGAGGGCAAACAGCTGATCATAATTTCAGAAGATTAATTTTTTGAAATAAAGAATAATTCATATATAAAAAAATTTTTATTTTAAATTTTCAGGAAAACATATATCTTTGTCATAAATTGGTTCTATTTACTTTGTTTTTACGGTAAATTAAATAGAACCTAAATACATGTAATTAATTCATTTTATGATCGTTCATAATGGCAGTAAATGACGAAAGTAATAGTATCGATATTGTTAAGAATCAAAGTAAGAAAATCAAGTAATTTAATGACTCTTTAAGATGGCAATGAATGATGAAATTAATGGTATCGATATTCTTAGAAATCAAATTACAAAAATAAATTCTCTTTTTTTCGGTATCATTATATCAGTTAACATGTCATTGTAGATGAATTTAAAAACTTTGAACAGTTTTGAGCTTTTGATGTTCTTCATTTTGAAAAAAAACTTAATGAACTTTGTGATGAGTTTTTTATTTGCTTTTGTGCCATCCAGCTGCTGCTGATATACTGCGAGTTCATAAAAGAAGTATAGCAATCGGCCATGAAGCTCACATTGAGATCTATTTGAGCTTGATGCGAAGTATGTCCGCAAAATCTTTGTGGATATTAATTGAAGAAGAGCTAAAGCCGTCTTCTATGAAAATTGTTATGTGTTTTTCACGTGGTCTCAACATATCAAAACTGTTTTCAGCTTTCGTTTGGTGCCTTCTGGAACCTGAATCCTCGAAATGTGGACGAATTCGCCTCCCAGATGGACAACATGTTCCGGAACATAGGCACAGGAGTGGATCGCACGAACGACCACATCCACACCAAAATTAACAGGGCCGATCTGCGCTTCGACGAAGTGGAGTCGGACTCTAGGGCCGCCATGTACGACAACTCCATCTTACCCCCCTATTCGCCACTCACCCCTATCAACCACTACCACCTGAGGGCCCCAAAAGCGGAGGTGCCATATGTCAAAGTACCTCTGAGGCCGACATCAGCAACCAACAGGTTCAATGTGTACGCCCGATAAAACCACTGAGTGCTCAAGTCTTTTATATTGCTGAATTCCAACTCTCCTTTATCCATGATTTCATATTACTTTTTGAAAATCATATAATTTCTGATAGTTTCAATTAGACATACAAGAAGTTTGCACACACGTTGAGTACAAAGTTGAGCCCATTAGCCTTTTGAGAACAGCCTTTTCAGTCTCATACAGCGTCGGTTCATCCAAGAGAAAAAATTTTAGATAAATTTTTCTGTTAAAAACACGCGCATAATTAGCTGGCTGAAAATTAGGCCAATGTTTTTCGAATTGTATTAGGTGCGAATCCAGAATTTTTGCATGGGTAAACTTTAGATTGACCAAAATGATTTTCGGAGCTTTCTTTAAACTCAAAATCAGGGGCGGATCTAGGATTTTCTCAAGGGGGAGGATTTTCAAAAAATTTTCACAATGACAAACTTTTTTTTAGGTTGACCAGATTGATTTATCGAGCTCTTCTAAAGCACTAAACAGACCATGGCAAATTTGTGTGTGTGTGTGTGTTTGTGTATGCCGCTGGCAAATTTTTGTGTGTTTGTCTATGTTAAATTTTGTGGATTCCACTGAACAACATGTCATTTTAATGTAACTTTTTTGACACATTTATTGTGCCGCGGAATTCGCAGCCAGCGAAAATTTCAATGGATGAGCAAAATGTTTTTAAAAAAGTATCAATTAAATGGCCTTGTTTTGGATTCCACGACAAACCTTTGTCCTACCTTTGTTCCTTATTCCGCTTACAATTCACAAACTCATAATTTGGCCTCATACAATAGCGCATGCTCCCCTCAAGTTCTTTTTGTAGAAAAGCGTGCCAGAGGTATGCTAGAAAAACCATTAAACTGGTCAGCCAAAAATGAAAATTGTGCAATAATATCAATGTAAGTCTATTGTTGCAAGGGAGATAAAGCGAGGGACCGTCCTTCCCCCAAAGCTTAGTTTGAACCTAAACCTTAGTTGATTAACTAAACTGAGAGTTGTCTCTTGGTTGCTAATATAAACTTGATCTGAAAAAAATAGCCCAGATTGCGCTGAACACTAATCTAAGCTCAAGCTGTTCATAGTTTTTGGTCTTTTTTGGCACTTGACTTAGATTGTTTTCTTGAGTTTCACAATTCATGATTTTTTGCGCTCAGGTTGGTTTTGTTAACCAGAAAAAGTTCAACTTGCCATTATGACTGAAGGTTTTATTTTTGGTCAAACATATTTTTTTTTTGATCTCAAGTTTTCACAAGAATTTTACCAGTGGTAAGTTTTTTCAAATTTATGGAGAATTGAACATTATAATTTAGCCAAGTAGGGATAAGCAAGACAGCCTGTATATCGGGGCAAAGCCCTGAAGGTTCCGATTGCCCCTTAATCCATATCCAATAGTTTGAGATATGAAAAGGTAGAAAAACAATACATTTTGGACGATATAAAAAAATCAAGTGTGGAAATTTAAGTCGTATGAAACTAAAACGACCGGCTAGCTAGCCTCAATTCAAATCGGAATGATTTTGTTAAGTGGGATAATTCACCCCGCATAAACAATTCGCAATACGCTTGAATAAAAGCTTGAAGAAAAGCAATGAATAAAAGCTTCAAAATGCGCATAAATTATCCCAGAGCAGGGGCGGATTTATAGGGGTGGCGGACGCCCCTTCCTTTCAGGGATTCGACCCCCTGCCGACCCAAACCAAAGGGTCCCCCCTTTGATACTTTTTCAGAAAACCAATTATGGCCGACCGACCCTAAAATTTTTCTAAAGGCGCCTTTGGCGCCAATCTATACTAACTTTGAGGGGGAGCGCGCGCCAAAAAAAAAACACGATTTTTTTGTCAACATTTTTCAAAAAGTGCCCAAAAACGGCTTTTTTGACTGTTTTTTCAGAAAATTGCCTGCAACGCAGAAAATTTTGGCAAAATAGGGGCAAAACAGTGCTTTGGGAGAGCTCGAAAAATCAATTTGGTCGACCTAAAAAAAAAGGTCGTCAAAATTTTGGAAATTTTTTTGAAAATCCGCCCCCCCCTCAAAATTTTGGAAATTTTTTTGAAAATCCTAGATCCGCCCCTGTCCCAGAGCATGGCCAAATTGCCAATTTTCAAACTCCCAAATCTTTGCAAAAGCTTATCTGAGGTAAGACATCTTCTTGAATTTTTATTTCAGGGAGTTCATATTTTCAAAAAGGCCTAAAAACGTTTTGATAAAAATTGTTATTTCTATCGCCCAAAAATTGACTGAATAAAAAGACCTCACTGAGCACAATTATTTCATTTTATTCAAAAACCGGATCAAAAGAGCAAGCTTCAAAATGAATCAATTTGTTTTGAAAATTTTTTTTAAGCGGGAACAAATTATCACTACCGCTACGCGTTTGTAGAAATGTGGCTAAAAGCTCGATATGGTTAATTCAATTTGATAGCTTTCAAACCCTGTAGTGATATAAATACCTTTTGATAAAAAAAGTTTGTTAAATTTGCTAGTTTGTAATAATCGTATGAAAAAATTTTGCAAGCAGCATAAGAACAAAAAACGATCATTTCACTGTTAAATGAGAGCACTGTTGATAGGGGCTCCATTGAGCAAAATTGAAAATGAAAAGGGAGATTTTTAGTTATAAGTCAACAGAAAAAATTAGTAGTCTAGCAGCGTCACAAATTTAGAGATATTTGTTTTCGTAACAGCCTGTAATTGTCAGTTTTGAACACTACTTTCAAAACTTCTGCCTGTTAAAAAGTAAATGAAAACAAGTTCTTTTTGAACCAAGCAAATAATAGTTTGACCAGTTTGTAGCCATTTTTTGGATTATTTTCCTCAAGAAATGAATAAAACTTTTTATTGTCATCTCTCTAACTTTTATAATTCTGCCAATCAAAAATTCAAAAAATTGCACTTCTCACTTCTCTCAATAAGCCTAGTTCGTTCTTATCTCTAAAAAGTCTTTTTCGATCGTTATTACTTAGATTGAAACAATTTTTCCACACCAACCTTGGTTTTAATTTATAGAAAAAAGAGTTTTATTATTTAATCAATTATTTAATTGATAAAAACCAAAATAAAAGTCTGCATTTTTGACTTAAACAAAAAAGGGAAAAACTTGGGGGGACACAATCAGAATACTAAATCACTTTTGAACAAATCTAGAAAAAATAATTTGGATGTGTTTGGTCTTGTGATTTTAAATGGCTTCAGTTGCTAAAAAACAATGAACTTTTTTCGCTTTGATGGTAAAATACTATGATAATCGCAATGATAAAAAACTTCTCAAAACTTTTGTTAGGTAGTCATTAGTGCTTTTCATAGTGGTAGCTGCAAAAAAAGGCAAAATTTTCTTCCGAAAAACATGAGTGGTTTTGTCTCCAGGTAAACTAAAACAAAAAAAAGAAACCTGGTTGATGTGAAAAAGCATGCGACTGCACAAAATACATTGAAAAATTTTAAAAAATCAAAAAAACTGTTGCAAAAATTTTTCAGAGACGAAAAAAAAATTTTACTACCAAGAAAGCGCTAAAAAGTTCCAATATTTGTTTTATTGGCTTAAAGTTTATTTTTGACGGCTGAAAATGAATTCCAATTTTTTAGTATAAGACCATTTCAAGCCTCTTTGCTCGTTTTTTTGTTGGAAGCGGTTCTAATCAACACTGGATGTGGTCCAAATTTCGACTAAAATTCTTTTAAATCAACATATCATCGACATATTCCGGTAAACTTTTGCGCTTTTAGTTGATTTAAAAAAAATACTACAAACTTGAACACAACTTTTTCCCTGTTTTTCTTGCTTCTAAAGTTATTTAAGGTTGCGTTTAAGATGTTCGTGTTTTACACTTCTCTGCAAGTTGAAGACATCAATTTCAATGCATCTCATAAATGTTAGATCCCAACCCGTGTTGAAGTCGGAGATTTAAAAAAATTATGTAGAAACGTTAAAAAAGTTTCAGTTCTATTCTGTAACAATCTGCAAGCAAAACATCCCAGGCTACAATATAACTGACGGCCCAGTTTTTAAACGTAAAGCAAAAAAGTTTAAGTAATTTTTTAGGGGTACATGCGCAGCTCACTGTTTCTCTGGTCCGCCTCTCATAGAATAATACTGAGCCGGGCCGAGGAGCTCACTTTATGTTTCGACGGTTTAGAACAAAAATTGGTATGTTTCGACAGTCACGACCAAATTTCGGTCGTGTTGGGCCGAAATTCAGTATGTATCGATAGATTTCGACCGAAACAAATGTGCTCGACCGTGCTCGATCCAAGCAAGGTTTTTTTCAGTTGTCCTAATCTTGAGCACACTTTTTGTGTTCTACATGATCTTTTTTTTTTCTTTCAGTACACCCGGGTTTGAGATAAAACTTCATGGCTTGTCATGCTAGATTTTTTTCGTGTTTTTCAAGCTACTGTTATTGCGACATACAGTTTTTTTAACAATGACAACTATAGATTTCAGAAATATGTCTTACAGACTGATATTTTGCAGTTATTGCTCCAAAAGTAACGGAATATTTGTGCTCGGGATGGGTTTATTTTCTTTCAGACATGTTTTGACTTTTTAACTAGCCCTTTTTGACAAAAATTTTAATTTCATACAAAAAGTATTGTTGTCTTGAGCTTAAATTTGAAAAGATATTTCACCTGTGATCGTTTTTCGTAAAAATATGGGGGTTTAAGTATCGCCATTTTGGCCAATTCGGGACAATTAACGTGCGATAAATTTTGGTCTATTAACGTGTAAGCTGAGATTTAATTAATCTTAGAAATCGTTCGAAACTGGTTGAAGGAAGCTTATTGACGATAGTTTGTTATTAAGAGCAAAATTTGTCACTTTGTTTTTTGTATGGCGTGTCGGGGATGATTTTCACAAAAAAAACCTCAAATTAAAAAAATTAATAGTTTTACATTCAATGTTTTACTGTTATTACTGTTCCATAGACCTTAAAACGCAGTCGGAACATTCAGGGCTTCGCCCTCATACGAGCAGTGTCGTATGTTTTTGTTACTCAATTCATGAATTTGAACAAAAACATCACAAATTCATTTTAAAATTACCCTTCCTTGTTTCTCACTCCCCGTTTATGTCTATTCCCACAAGAGAAAGAGGCTCATTT